TCCAGCGACTCGAGGAAGTCAAAACTCCTGCAATGGCGCTTGTTGAAGGGCTGCGGCTCGCGGGACAAGGATGAGGACATGGAGGCGTCACATTGTGCCAGGGGCTGACAGATAACAGAATCCCCAGGGGCTGCAGTGGCCACTTTGATGTCTTGGTACACTGTGGACACCAGGATGTCAGGTGGGTCTGTTCGTGTCATCTTAAAAGCAACTCTTCTCCCACCTGTCAGACGGCCTCAGAGGACGGTCGCCCGCCCTGCAAGAGAACACATGAGGCGCCTCAGTCCTGGCGGGACCTCAGATCAATCCCCACGGCTCCTGGCTCAGGGCAGGGAGTTGGCCACCTCTTCAGAAATGAGGGTTCAGGGGCATCCTAGCCTCCACTGCTGCTGTTAATAGTCAGATCTCAGGTGGGGGAAGAAGCTGCCAAAAATCTTCAGATCCAGGGTATAAATCACGGAGTGGCTGGCAGGCCACATGCGGGGGCAGCCGGGCAGCTCTGGGTGCCAGCTCAGTGCAGGGAGAGAACACGAGGCACCATGCCCTGTTCCTAGGCCATAGGATGCAGGGACTCTCTTGCAGCATCACGAGAATCAGAAGCTCTGAGCAGGGCTGGGGGGACTCACTGCCAGGGTTTTCCTTAGGGAGTGTGTGCCCAGCCCTGGTGTGAGCACCTGAGTGGTGAGGGGTCTCCTGGGACTGTGTGCACCCACATCCCAACACCAGCACTGTAGGCAGGAGCAGGGCCCAGGAACGGGCACCGCGACCACCCACCATGGTAGCTGGGAAACCCCCACAGCGTGGGGCTCTCTGGGGTGCAGGAGCTGTACCCCCACACACGATGGCTGCACCCACTGTGGCCCACAAACACTCCTGTAGGGTGGCCACAGTCCTGGCTGCTCGGAGCCGCATCACTCTCTGGGGCTTCCATGGGTGGCACTGGGGGTGGCAGAGGTGCCCCAACCCACATGTCGGAAGTAACTCTTCCATTGCCTCCCTGTGCCAGAAGGGATGTGCTGGCTCAGCACCCACTGGCTTTGTCCTCTCCATGTCCCATGACTATGACACAGCCCCTAGGCGGGAGGGTGAGTGGGATGGTGGCTCCAGCTCCCATGGGACACAGGGTCTGACACCCACCATGTGCCAGCACCCTGCACCCCACTGCTCCAGGACGATGCTGTTGGGTGGTCAGGGTGCGCAGAGTCCCCAGCCACAGTGTGACACAGGACTAGGTTGGTGTTGGCCCTGACCTTCCCCACCAGCCCCTCCAGAGTTGCTGTGGACTGTGACCAACACCGAGGGTGTTCTGTCCACAGTGGGGACCCTCAGCTGGCTGTCACCTCACCATGGGCTCTGAGCATTGCTTGTTTTGGTCACCACAGGCCTGAGAGCGCTAGTGGATACTGGCTGCTCCACAATGCACTAAAGGTGGGTGGCAAAGGCCACCAAAGGGTACTTGGTTTTAAAGAGCAGCAGAGGACCACAGGGAAGGTGTTTCTTGAAGGAAAGGAATTGACTTTATTTGGCAAGAAACATGGCCTATGCAGGGATGGGGAGGGGGACCTGGATTCCCCCTCGTTACCCGCCTCAAAGCCGGGGGTTGCGGATGCTGGAGCTGAGGTGAAGCCAGTAGGGTTGGGGTGTCTGTCCATGGCATGAGCTGGGGAGAACAGGATGCCAGGAGGACAGAGGTGGGGGTCCCAGTGTCTCCCTCCAGGGCTGGGAGGACAGGTTTGCCCCCAAAGCGGTGGCCCCAGCATTGGCCCCTATGCATTACAGCGTGTGGGCACTGGGCTGGATCTGGGCAGACAGCACCTCACACCGCAGCGATGCCAACGGTGGTGATGGGAAGCCCTTCCCCATGGTGTCTGGTGAGAAGGGAACTATAACCCGGGGTCCTACCTGGTCCGGCAGCAGCAGGGAGGTGGTGAGTGGGCTGAGGTGGCGGCTCCATCCCAGCACTGCAAAATAAACAAGGCACATGAGGGTCCTGGGGCACCCCCAGCAGTGCTGCAGGGCCTGCTGCCGGGGCCGTGGACGCCTTGGGGGCACAGGGAGCACCCTGAGAGACCCCTGCAGCCACAGCCCCTGCTGAACCAAACCCAGTGAGGCCATCGTGCACATTCCTGTGCGTCGGGGATGTGGGTGCTGTCCCACAGGCACCAGTGTGTCCCCCACCCACCCAGCAGCACCCGTCACCCATGGAGCCGCAGGGTTGCCATGGTTTCTCCAAATTATTCCTCCTCTGCGAGGACAGCGTGGGTGAGGACAGCGTGGGTGTGTGAGGAGGCTGCGTGGGGGGCTGGGACTCCACAGCAGTGCAGGGATAGCGGAGATCCTGCACAGCCACGGGCAGCCCCTGACCATCGTGGGGGGTGGAACTGGGATGGTCCCACAGTGCTGCCAATGTCATTGCACTCCCACACTCACCCACCTCTGACACTGAGTCCCCTCCAGAGGGAAAGGGTTTTGCATCCTTTCTGCTCTCCAACCCCCCCTGCTCGTGGGCATCCCCGTTCACCCTCAGCGCTGCCCACTTTTGGCAGGCAACAGCCTCCCTGCCCGGGGTTCCCACCCTCTGTCACCCCGTGGATGCTGACACCGGCCAGCAGCAATTTCAGAGGAGCCGCTGCCCATGGAGTGGGCGGGAGCCACCCCTGTGGGGTCCTGCCCTTGTGCCCAGCCCAGCCCCCCACAGCCCCCCACGTGAGCACCGGCCGTGGCAGCACGAGGGGCTGGGGACCAGGAGCGACCCCAGATGCCAGAGGGACCGGCAGGAGGCTGCCGGGAACTGGGTCGCTGCCTGCACGTGCCACGTGTGGGCTGCGGGGGGTGTGTAGGGGTGGGGTGCACTGCCCCCTGCCAACGCACCCCACACTGCCTGTACACTGCCTGTGCACTGCCTGCGCACTGCCTGCCCCATGCTCACGGTGTGTGCTGCCTGGGCCGCCCCTGTCAGGGCACTGCCCACACACTGCTCACACTGCCTGTGCCCTGGCCCGAGCTGCCTGTGCACACTGCTCTGCCAGTGACTGCCCCACAGCCTGCCCATGCTGCCCTGGGCACTGCCAGGGCACTGCCCACTCACTGACTGTCCCTGCACGTGGCAAGGGCTGCTGCCTGCACACCCTGCTCTGGGGCACTGCCTCAAGTGCAGGCCGGTGCCCTGTGCATGCTGCCCGCACATTACTTGGGCATTGCTGCCCACCCTGCCTGCTCACTGCCCACACACATCCTGCTGAGCAGGCAGCAGCGCTGCCCAGGGCACTGCAGCAGGTAAGCTGCCTGCACACTGCCTGCATGCTGCCTGCACATGCAGAGCACTGAGCATGCAGCACTTCCCCCCCACCCCTCAGCAGCCCCAGCACACACCGCGCTGCACCGGCCCCACGGCCCCGTGGGCACGGCCAACAGCACCTACACTGCCCCCAGCACTGCCCTGAGTGCTGCCCCGAGCACAGCAGTGGCACCTGTGTCTGGACACGCAGCCAGAGCAGCATCTTGCAGCCGCTGCAACCACCCTGCTCGAGCAGATGATGCTGGAGGTCCCACCAGCAGTTGCTGTGGGGGCAGTGCCTGTGCGCGCTGTGCCCTGGCACTGCCAGCACC